AATAGCACCATATTGAATTACTAACCTAGAACTTTGCCCCAAATGGCTTGACCAAGCCAAAGGAACTCCTCACAGTTCCTGGGGTTGGTGCAAATGGGAACTTGTATTTGAATGTAGCCCAAGCAGGGTCTGTAACTGTTGTTAAGTGAACACTTGCTTTGTTGTGTATTGCAGTAATGTCCAGGTTGTGATCGGATCTTAGGTAACTGATCACGCTGAGTTTGCAGCAATGTTTTATTGCTCACTATATTTCAGCCACAAGATCAAATAGAAGTCGGGGAAGACGGCTTTAAACAATGGGATGGTAAGAGCAGTGTTCGCTATAGGATGCAGTAATGTATATTTTTCCTAAGTATTTCTTTTTCATTATTAAAGATTTAACAGTAAATTTCTGTAATTTCAATTTAATAAGCTCATTCTATTTTATACTTTCAAGCTATGTGCTCTATGGTATTTGATTATGTACCTTTGTCCCACCCACCCCCTTTCTTCTAACTAGTGTTGGACTCCTTGGATATGGAGGCAATGGTGAGCACTGTGCGTGCCTGGATTGAGAACCCAGTGAAGTTTGCCCGTTCCCATGGGGTGAATGTTACGCCTGGCTCTAAAGAGCCAGCCTCCAAAGATACCCATATATTGGTCATTGAAGGCTTCCTGCTTTATAATTACAAGTAAGGTTTGGGGAACTATTAACAGTTTGCCAGGGAAGAACACTAGATCCTTGCTGCCGGGGCTAAACCCTCCTTTTTACTAATATACCCCTCCTGTCTTGTCCTGAGGTATCATGCACAAGAATTTTTCTCATGTGCAATGGAAAATTTCCCAGTAAATGCTGGGAAAAGCGAGGTGCATGAGGAGTCTTTCTCAAGGTAATGCAGGAAGCTCATTTAGGGCATGCCCTTGAACTCCAGGCATGGGGAGCTGTAGATCAGTACTGAGCCAGCAGCGGTGGCACAGGCTTCCCTTCTGGCCTCCCTCCATGAGGCCTAAACCTTGACCTGCAAAGGTCATTGATGAGGACAAGGAGATAATCCACTCCGCATGGAATCTCCCCTGGAATTCAGGAATAGCTCCCTCATGTGATTAATGTGGTTGACACTAAACTGAGTTTAGGAATTAACTGTAAATTGGAGCACAGATCAATCTTTTTGCTTTTTTACATGGGGGGGAAAATGCCTGGCAGGAAGAGAGGAGACTCAGTGAAAACTCCCAATAGCTAAATATACACCTGCAGAAATCATGTGCTATGGATGTGACCAGCAAAAGGTTCTTGGCTCCAAACTCCAATTTTGTTTACAAACCTCTTTCAGGAGAGCAAGCTGTGACACTCAGAAACCCAGAGTTGTTTCTGAGCCATCAGACAGTCAGCACCATCCCAGCTTTCCAAACTGAATGTAAAATGGCAGTCGTGGACCAGCTGTCATGGCCAACTGAGGAATGTGCTGGCACACTGCTGGGTGTTCTTGGCATGTCCCCAGCGAGGTGACTCCTGGTATTTCCTGAAGGTTACAAACACCTCTGAAGCTCTGTCTTGTTAATGGGAGCTTTTCCATAGTCCTGGACCTGAATCTTGCTCAGTTTATGCCATATTAAGCATTTGTGCAAGCTTCCCAGGCTTTTAGAAGTCTGTGAGTCCCACCAGGTTCAAACTAGGTTTGCTTCAAGGATTTTTCTAGGTTTAGTTTCTTCAGCTTAATAGGAGCACAACACAGAAAGCTGCAGTAGAGCCAGCTCTGGAAAAGAACAGGAGCTGATGGAACTGCCTTTGCTAAACCTGTGTGCCCACATGTGCTGCAGCACAGCAGGCCAGGTGGTTTGATAAATCAGTGCAGATCAGATTGACCACAGCTTTAGTCTTCTGCTAGAGCTGGATATCACAGAATCATTAGGGTTGGAAGGGAACTCTGGAGATCATCTAGTTCAACCCCCTGCCAAGGCAGATGATCAAGAAGAGGCACAGTTCACAACCCAGGGCTTCCCAGTTCAGTGTCTGACCCCCCTACAGCAGGAGGTGTTTGGATGAGAAGACTATGTAGTGCACCATTCTGACCTCCAAACCCTGTGTTCTATGGTGAATAAACCTACTGTACATTAGCTTGTGTCTTACTGAGGACACTTACACTTCTGTTGTCTCTAACAGACACAAATATGGGAGAGGCAGAAAGATTTTTGTGGCTTTCAGGGATGATTTAACTTTTCTCTGACAAAAAAATAGACACTTTCTTTCTTTCTACCCTACCCCAGACCACTGATAGATCTCTTCGACTTACGCTACTACCTGGCAGTTCCATATGATGAGTGCAAAAGGAGAAGAAGGTAAGAAGACTCTTTTGTAAGTCCCTACATTCCTTGTCCAAAGCCCCTCTCCAGGTTTCTTGTTAGCCCCTTTAGGCTCTGGGAGCTGCTGTAAGGTCTCCCTAAGGGGGAGACCCTTCTCCAGGCTCAACATGCCCAACTCCTCCCCTGTGAGCATCAGTAAACCCTTGGAGATTGCTTCACCTTCATTGGCCACCTGCAGCTTCTGTATTCACTAAATAAACTTGGTGCAGAACAGACAGCTATTGATGAGAAATTGGACTGTGACAATTGACTGTAAACATCAGTTCAAGGAAGAGCTGTTAGATCAGCTTCAGGCTCTTGCAGTGTGCAAGAGGCAGCGCTGTCCCCATGGCCGCACATCACAGAATGGGTTGGGACCTTAAAGACATCTTGTCCTGGGCAGGGATAACACATCCTAATGTCCTTTGCCTGTTTTGCTGTTTGCAGTACACGTAACTACACCGTTCCTGACCCACCGGGTCTCTTTGATGGACACGTCTGGCCCATGTACTTGAAACACAGGAAAGCAATGGAGGACTGTGGTGTTGATGTTGGTGAGCCCCTACCCAAGCACACTGGCCCTGGGCTTTGGGTTTTAAGGAAGTCAGTAATTTAATTCATGGGAACTTGAACTGCAGCAAGGCAAAGGTTCTGTTTGTACTGGGAAGCTCTAATCCTGGCCTATTCTCTGTACAGATACACATGCAGTTTTACAGCTCAGGACTTCTTCCCTTTGTTTCATATTAAAAGAGACAAACCACATTCTTTAGTGGGATAAGAGACTTTGTGGGGCACAAGTTTTTTAAGGATGGTTCTGGGTTTTCAATTTTCCAATTGGAAAATTTTACTCCATTTGGTCAATTTGAAATACTTTAAAACTGATCTAGAGGAATTTATTCTGATCAGAAACCTACATCTTCTTCCTTCAGTTTATTTAGATGGGCTAAAGTCCCGAGATGAACTCTACAACCAAGTCTTTGAGGATATTCACAACAAGCTTTTGAACTGCTGACAGGTAAACATGGTCCCACCATAGATGGGGTGGGACAAGAGGTGCTGACTGGGGAATGACCTGCTCCAGCTCCCCAGTGCTCACACTTCCCCTTTTGCTTTTTAGGATCTCAAAGACCTGGAAGACCTGTGTACAGCACGATGTAAATAGTACTGCAGTTGGCAGGAGGGTTTATTTGTGTAAACTCATCCTATACTGTCCTTTGGAAAGTATCTTTTGTATATAATTGAAGAATGAAGGTAACTTATTCACACCTCTGAGAGACAGGATTGGTTTGGTGTTTTGTTTTTGGTTTTTTAACTTTCTTATTTTGTATTCCTCTGGCTTATCCCAAAGTTGAAAGTGCATTTTTATAATGAACAAGTAGAGCTGCGCTGGGAGAAAAACTGGCTCTTCTGCTCATGTGCTTCTGCAGACATGGAGTCTGTCTGTAACAGCTTGCTTGTAACATCTCAATTCAGTAAAAACCCATTTCAAGTCCTTATCTGAGGTCCTGTTTAATGTCAGTCACCTTTCCTGTGAGAGGAACAGGCACAGAACTCCTCAAACACAACACTTGAAGTGTCAGCCCTACTCTGTGTCACTGTCTTGGTTTCAGTGGTAACCCTGACTGGGAACCCTGGTTAAGGAGTCCCAGTGAGAGTGTGATTCTCCATGCAATGGTGGGAGGGGAACAGCACTGAAGCTATTTATAATGTGCTAGTATGAAACCAGTTTAATGTCAGGCTCTGCTTTGTGGCGTTTCTCACTTCACACTCAAATTAGCACATAAAGATACTGCAGCCCCATTTCAGCCAGCAGCCGGGTGCTCCCTGGGTGAGAAGTTTGGACAGAAGCCTCTTTCTGCCTCTCACCACCCAAATGAGGATGTTATTTGGTCCCAGATTCCTGCCTCGCTGAACTTCAGGTGGTGACGTGCCTGCAGAGGGCTCCTATAGAGGTGGATGTGTCCAAGTGGGTGATATTTAGGGCAAAACCCTTGTATTACTGTGCCAGACAGCAAACTGCAGCTCTAAAACCTAAGTACAGGAGGTTCTGCTGTTACAAATGGGTAGGTTTATGGGAAGCCCACAGCTTCCTTACTCCTCCGTGTCCTCCCTTCTTAGCAAATTTGTCAGTAAAATAATGTGGCAATAGTTTTCCTGATGTTTCTGGTGATGGGCTTCCTGTCAGTGAGCTAAAGAAGCCTCCCACTGTGAGGGAGCAGCAGGGCAGTAACTGGGCAAACACAATATTGCAATAACTCACACCACAGACCATAATGAGCTCGAGAAAGGAAAGGAGACGTGCCTGAAGAGCACCAAGACCAACCTGGAACCAATGCTGTCCTTGCTCCAAGCTAATAATAATCTCCCCACTCTACTGTGCCTGGAATTGGGCTGGAATACCATGGTGGGATGTGCCAATCTGCTATCGAGATGGGCTGGCTAAAGATAGGAAGTGCCACTGAACCGCTGCACCCGAGCATGTGCTTTGCACCACGCACCAAAGGCTCCTGGGTTAAAGTATAAAACCTCTCACGTGGGGTGAGCACAGGGATCTTCTGGGCACTGAAATAACTTGGCTGTGGCATCAGCACGGATCACTCTGGAAGAGTTTTGGGCATGCCTTAATTAGAAACAGTGCTCCAGAAAAGCAGCTGCCACAGATTAGTGAGCAGTTGCCCAGGCGGTTTCAAGGGGTGCTTTAAGCCACCAGGAGGATCCAACCACCTCCTCCTCGTGTTAACACTGAGATTTTCCAATTGTCTGGCCAGAACGGAACACTGCAGCCAGCAACAAAACAGGAATAGTGATGGCATCACCCACACTTCCACAAGCTATAAAGAGGCAGGTTTCCTCATGTGTGACACGTGTGTGCCTGGAGACACCCACAACATTCTCATTACACCATTACAGGGCTGGGTGTTTGTCAGTGGCAACGCTGTGACCTGTCACTGGTACCTTGTAAGTCTGTTTGACATCATTACATTGCTTGTTTCCCAGCAGGAAAATCCCAAAGCCCTGGCTCTGTTCTGCACTGAGTTCTGGTGTGGTTTCCCTCAGGGTTCCCCAGATGGGTTTAGCTGGGAAAACCCAGTCTGCTTCCATGAGGATATGTAAGGGAGAAGCCCTTCCCCTCACCTCACACTGCTGCAAGGAGGCAGAAACTGAAGCCTAAAAAAGGCACTTTGGTATTCCCTGCCCATGGAGAGCATAAAACATTCCAGGGCAGTGCTGGCTCCAGCTCTGAGAGGGGAACTGAGGCAGCGCATGCTGGTTTCACGTGGGTGAAATCTGGTATCCCCATCGGATTTGCCTCCTGGACACGGTCTCCCCCATAATTTCTCCACACTGACTGGTCAGTATCCCCCCCCCGCACTGGTACCCAGTGCATCAGAGCCATCTGAGCTCCCTCTGCAATTTAAAACCCTCACCAAAACCACCCCAAATCCTGCTTTTTAAACATTCTGGTGTTATCTTTGGCCGTTCCCCAGGACAGGATCTCCTCCAGCACCCCTCCAGAGCAGCATACCTGCAGGGAGAAGCCTATGCCGGCCAGGGTGAATGGTGAGTGCCTTCCAAGAGCCTTTGGGAGCATGAAACAGGAACCTGTGGCACGAGGAGCAGCTGGGAAGCCTCAGCACTATGTGAACTTTGCACAGCTTGGGACCAACTGTCGCTATAGGATTTCCATACATCCCTTCACACGCCGGCTCTGGTGACGAATTGGTTCTGTAAGAGCAGATCAAATATCCAGGACTCCAGATCAAATGCCGTGGCACCGATCCTGCTCTGCACCGGGAGCTGCCACCAGCCAGGCGGTCACACCATGCAGCACCCCTGGTGCCAAGAGCCTTGGCCTGGAAAAATGGGGTCAGACTAAAATTATCCCTGGCCTCATGTGCCCCACAGTCTGGGATGAAACCTACACCCGGTGGGACGTCAGTGGCACACGGGGCTGCCCAAGGAATGGCGTGGACAGGGACACGGGACATGGGACACGGGACATGTCCCCTCCACCCTGAGGAGCCAGGGGGGAAGCTCTGGAGCAACAAATAAAGCCTAAATTGGGCAATTCCCCCAGTCCCGGAGCTCAGCCGGAGGGAAACCCACTGCTGCCTCCCTGCACGGGTGCTGGCGAGCCGGAGGGATGCTGCGCACCCGCCAGGATTTGGCTGGTGATTCCCCCAGATCAAGTTCAGCTGAATCTTGGCTCCATCAGCAGAGGGCTGAGGGCAGCCGGAAACCCTGCAGTGCTCCCAGAGGAAATGGCAATTTGGGACCTTGTGCCCCTGTCTCAAAGGGCTGGGGCTCCCGTCGCACCAGCCACCAGCTGCACCCTATGCTTATCAACTCTTCCTGGCCCCAAGCATATTGGTGCCAATTCCTTATCCACCCTGTTCCCATCCAAACTGGGATCTGGCAGGCCCCCTGCCAAAGGGAGATCCCTGGGGAAAAGGGCAGAGAACCTCCAGAAACCCTGGAGCCCTCTCTGAGCCCCAGGGGCCTCCCCAAATCCCAAAGACCTTCTCCAGCTCCCAGAACCATGCTTCAATCTGAGCCCACAGGACTCCTCCATGGTCTAAGGCAAGAGGAGCTGGGTGCTCCTCCAGCCTGGGAGCACCCTGCAACCTGCTCAGAGCAACCTCCAATCCCACAGGGAACTCGCCTGCCCCAGAACAAATCCCTTCTCCTCCCAGATTAAGGAACCCCTCTGGGACAGGAGCACCAACACCATGTGTAGGCCCAGCAGAGGAGCTGTTACCACACAGCACATCCTTGCCCCCTTCCCACCGCCATCCTCCCATGGCAGGAGCTAAGGCGGCTGCCCCGGTGCACAGAAACCTTTATTCTGTTAAAGGGGAGAGTGCCCGTGGGACCGAGGGCTGGGGCAGGGGGGGACAATGCACCCGGGGGGAACGGGGAACAGCCAGGGTCACCCATGGGGCTGCAGCATGCTGGGGGCCACATGAGGCAGGCACTGAGCTGCTGCCGGGGTAACACTCACCAAGTGCCCCGCAGGCAGCTCCAAGACCCAGGCCCTGGGTGGAATGGGGGGAACTGGTCCCTGAGCACTGTGGCTGGGAGCGGGGAGCAGCCAGGGGAGCACAGGGACGTGAAGCCAAGCAGGAGCCACACGCAGGAAGCCAAACCCCAGGTGAGCACAACTGCAGCTCCCTCAAGAGGGGTCTCCAGGGAGGCACAAGCCACCCCACACCACTGCGAGCCCAAAGGCTGTCGGTGGAGTGGCTCCTGGGGTGAGCAGGGGGCTCGGGAAGGATGATCCCATCTCATCCCGCAGGAGATAACTAACGGATCCCAGCTAACGGATGCTGCCGTCGCCCTCGCTGCTCTGCAGCTTCTCGCGCTCAATGGACCACACCAGCTCCTGGACAAACTTCATCTCCGAGGCCACCTGCTTGGCCAGCGCCTCGTAGTGGTTCTCCAGCTTTCGGTAACGCCTCTTGAGGCCGTTGGCCACCTGCACCACGCTCTTGGTCTCCTCCTGCGCCTGCTTCTTCAGGGCCTCCGTCTTCTGCAGCTCCTGCCGGATCTGGCGGAGGTCCTGGCTGATGCTCTCATTCTCCTCTTTGTACCACGACTCCTTCTCCTCATAGATGGACAGCAGGGCCTCGATGTCCTCCTGGAAGGACTTCTTGTTCCTCTCCAGCTCTCGGAGGCTCTCCTCAGCTGCAGCCACCTCCTCCATGACCTTGGAGAAGCGCTCGAAGTTGATGTAGGTGTTGTTCGGTGGCATGCTGGAGTGGGACTTGATGGTGTACTCCTTCAGGCGTGTGGTCTTCAGCCGGCGGCGCTCGGGCTTCTTGCAGTTGTCTTCGTTGCGGACGTTCCTCCTCTTGATCACCTGTGGAAAGGGATGGCCACAAGCATGAGGTGCAGCACCCACCCATGGTCTGCAACACCCAACCCGGACCCCTTGGGTGTCTGATACCCAGAAAGTGCCGATTCTGTCAGTTCTCACCTTAATCCAAGGGTGCTCCAGGCTCTGAGCGATGGTCATCCGCTTCCTGCAAAGACAGCCAGGCTGTGACCGAGGGGCAGAGGCTTCGCTGCCTCTTTCCCTGTCAAAGTCCTGGAAAAGCAGCTTGGATCCGACCACCTCTGGGGCACAGATGGGCCCAGATGAACTCGCTGTGCTCAGAGGCTGCAGTCAGCTCCTTGGCCTCATGCAGCCTCCCCATGGCAAACACTCCCCAAAAAGCCTGCAGGAACCTCCTGCCTGATGTCTGATCACGCAGCACCACTGCTCCTGGGTGCTCGGGTGAGCCCTCCACCCCTTCCATAGCATTTTCCCTCCTTTTCAGCTAAGCTGCTGCACCCTCAGGGTGATCCCAGAATTCATCCCCTGCCTGACACAGGGGAGAGACTTTGGTTTCCAAATCCTACCAGCAGCAGGAGGGAAGTGGGGGGATAAACAGGATTTATAAACAAGCAGCAGACAGGCATGGGCAAAGGCAGGCTCAGAGCTAAACTCCATATGGACAGGGGATGTGGGAGCTGCCCGTACACAGAGAGTGGGGCAGGAGGGACCGCCCCCTCCCAAGGTAACCCCCAGCTCTGCTCCCTGCCTCTCACTTGGGGTCCTTGACGAGCAGGCGGCGGATGAAGTCCTTGGCCAGCTCGCTGGTGTTGCTGAAATACTCCTCGTCGAAGTCATAGTTGACAGCAGATATGTTGGTCAGGGTCTCCTGCTTCGTTTCCCCCAGGAAGGGGGAGGCTCCACTCAGCCTGCAGTGAGAGCAGGTTGTGACACCCCAGAGAGGTGACAGCCCGAGCAGGGGACTCGCCCTGCAGAGCCCCTCTGCCCCAGACTCCCCCTATACTCACAGGATGTAAGTGATGACTCCGATGCTCCTGGAAGAGAGAGGAAGATGAGGCTGAAGCTCCACAGAGCTGCCTGCATGTTCAGCAGGAGGGGAGACCTGTAGGGAGGGGATTCACTCACCACATGTCAGCCTCCAGCCCTAGGGGTTCGTAGTTGACAATTTCTGGGGCTTTAGAAGAAAAGAGGGAAGAAAACAGGATTATTCTGGGGGAAAGAAGCCTTTCCCCATGACCTCACCCTGGCAACACACACCACAGCTTTGGGCATCTCTCTGATATTAAGCCAAAGCTTCTGGAGCCCCACAGGAACGCCGCCAGCCGGAGCTCACCTACAAACTCTGGGGTCCCAAATATATTCTTGAATTCATTCCCAGCTTCAATCTTGTGGGCAATCCCGAAGTCGATGAGTTTGATCCGAGGGTTTGGCACGTTCTTGTCCAGCAGCATGATGTTCTCTGGCTGCAGGGGGGACAGGAGCCGGTGGTTACCCCACACGCTTCAGGCAGGGAGAGATCCCAGAGCTCAGGGTGCCTGCATGTCCAAGCCCTCACCTTCAAGTCGAAGTGGGCAATGCGCTTGGAGTGCAGGTAGTGCACCCCGTCCAGGATCTGCTTGAGGAACTGCGTGGCCTCCTCCTCTGTGAGGGACTCCTTCTCAGCCAGGAAATCGAAGAGCTCGCCGCCCGAGACCAGCTCCAGGATGAGCACCACGTCCGTCTTGTTCTCGAAGATGTCGTGCAGGGTGATGATGTTGGGGTGCTGGATCTCCCGCAGGATGTCCACCTCCCTCTCGATCTCCTCCCGGCTCACGCCGCGGCGGCTGGACGACAGCCGGCGCTTCTTGATGAACTTGGCCGCGTATTCCAGGCCCGTTTTCCTCTCCCGGCACTTCCGTACGATGGCAAACTGCCCGCTGCGGGATGCAGGGAGGAGGTGAGGAGAGGATCATTGTGCTGGTGTGTGCTGGGCAGTGGGGTCAGCACCGGTACAGAGATGGGAGGCGCTGTGCAGGACTTCACCCTTGTCCCTTCTGCCCCAGCTGAGCCCCACATTGGCCCTCTGCTGGGACACACAAGGATCCCCTCAACGACTTCCCCCTAGGACAGATCCATCCCACTTCCCAGGGCTGCCCTGTCCCCTCCCCACTGCCCCGGCCATTGGCCATCCCCACCAGCACACGGTGACGTGCGGTCCCGTCACCAGCCTCCGTCATCAGCCTCTGTGGCGCCCGGACCCAAGCGTACTCTGTACATCCCTACATCACCAGGGCCACCCGCAGCGCCCCCAGGGCAGAACCAGCCTTGCCCTGGTGGGATCCAGCCCCCAGGCACCACATCCATCCCCAGGGCTCCATCGAAGCTCCAAGGGAAGGGGACCCAGAGCAAAGCCTAAGAAGCTCCCCCCCTTTTAAAGGAACAAACACTGAAGCCACCCAGAATGTTCTCACTGCTCAATTCCTTCCCAAGGCCTGGGAAGCAGCACCCGAGGGAGCCCTGGGGCCACAGCTGTGGCAGATCCTGACTCCTGCTGCGGCTGAGGCAGCGTTGGAGGATCCAAACCCAGCCCACACCCCCCCCCCACCACCACTGCAGCCTCTGCATCCCGATGATTAAATCCCATTTTCAGGCAGTGATTCACCCCGGATCTGTTCCATGGGCACAGAGCCAGGCAGCAGTGAGGGCCCTGACCAAACCCGGGCAGGACAGGAGCTCTGCTGGGCCTGCCCACGTATGGGAGTTTAAAGGGAACGAACACTGTCCTTTGTTAACATACAGCTGCTGGAGGTGGCTGGCTCTGCCCACAGCCCCGCTGCCTGCATAGCACAGAGGTGGCACAGGGACACCACGGGGGCTGCAGCAGGGGGTGAGGATGCTCGGGCAGGGATGGCTGCAGCCATGGAAGCCCCCAGAGCACAGGGGCCCGGCACTCACCTGCCCAGCTCTTCCCCCATCTCATAGAAGTCCTCCACGCTCTCCTGCCGGAAGGTGGACATGGCTGCGAAGCTGCAGCTGCCCCGACCCTGCGAGCCGAGCTGGGCACCGGGACCAGCCGGGGATCAGCACCTGCGGCACCAGAACGGGGGGGTCGCACCAGCACTGGCAGCAGTGCTGGGAATGGCTCGGGGCAGGGCCTGGCACAGGGGGACCGAGGGGAAGGAGCCTTGAAGCAGTGCAGCCCCAATGCTGTGCTATGGGGATGGGGGGGGGGGGTTAGTCCTGGGGACACCCCC